CGGGAGAACCTGGAGCCTTGAGCACTAAACTAAGGACCCTGAACCTGGTCTTGGAAGCAATGCAAACCCATGAAGGATCAGGTGGTCATTTTAGAAAGATCCCTTACAGCCACGAGGCGGAAAGGCAGCAGAAGGCCTGGAGAGGTGGAGATGTAGCAGGAGGGAGCTCAGTAGCCAGTAGAAGACTACCACCACACTCGCTCTGCCCGATGTGCCACCTGCAACGTACAGGAAATGGGTACAACGGTGCCCTGTGTTCCGGCTCATTGCTTTACACGCACCACCTCACTTACTATCGCAAAGATCCGTCTACAGTTGGATGGTTTCCGCCAGAGCCTCAGCCCCTAACCATTGCTCTAACCTGCTTGAGTGCCTGAGGACAGGGCAGGGAGAATGAAAAGGAGGGGAGAGAGTCAAGAGACACCAAGTGGGCAGAATCTGCAGGCCTCGGGGACTGATCTCTTAGGGAATAGGGGGCGTAGGTGAGCGCGTGTAGATGCCCAGGCTTCTGGCTTGGAGGTCTCTGTGTGAGGCAGTGCCGGGCTTGGTTTGCTGGTGGTGCGGTAAAGAAATGCCACAAGTCCCCAGGTTTGCGACATTATCTAAACCACAAGTGGCTTAAAGGGCAGGGGTTCCTTTTCTTATGGTTCAGGAGGCTCGAAGTCTTGGTTTGGGCACTGGCTCTGGGGTAAGCAGTGGGTGGGGGTGGGGGTGGGGAGAGCTATCTCTCCATCGTCTCTAGGGGAGGATCAAGGTTTCAGCACCTGCGGCCCTGGCTTCCCCCCTCCCCTCTCCCGTGATCTTCAAGCTGTCTCTCTGTTTGCCCTCGCCTGTTCTTTTGTCTAATCCGGATCTTTTCTGTGGCTCAGAAGCCATTGGGTTTCGAACACATCCTGGGCTGCTATGGCTGCACCAGCAAAGAGAACAGATTTCTGACAGGGCAACGACCATAGGGATGTTAGAAGTCTTAGGTGCTGGCTATCGAGTTGATTTTTGATTCATGGCAACTCAGTGTGACAGAGTAGAACTGTCCCCGAGGCTTTATAGGAGCTGGTCAGCGTGGCTTTGTTTTTCCCTCCCCCGGAACTGCCAACTTTCAGGGCAGCGGCCACGCACTTGACCATTGTACCACGAGGGGTAAGGATTCCGGCACTGATTTTAGGGGTATTCGATTTAATCCGTACTCAAATAGTGCTGTTCCTTGACATGAGGGTTTGGTGAGGAGAAACATGTGCCGTGTTGACGTGGTCCTCTGAGTGGTGCTCTCTTAGAAGGTCATCGGACATCTAGGTCTGCGGAAGGGAGCGGGTGGGAGCGGAAGCGCCCGAGTGTTCTCTCAAAGCAGGAAGAGCTCAAGAGAAGCTGAGGCTGGCGCCCAGTGGGAAGCTAAGTAGGAGCGAGGGGAGGAGGCTGGGCGGGAGAGGGTGCTGAGGGACAAGTAGCTTTCAGGAAGGTGGGGTACAAGAAAACGGCCAGGAGCCAGAGCACCGAGGGTCATGGTGAGGAGTGATGGATCCGAGTGGCTCGCTGGCAGGCAAGGAGGCATGTCCAGAAGGGAGTGGATAGAAACAGAGGAGGCAGAGGGGCCCAGGGCTGGAAGGCCCCGGGGAACTGAGGAGCAATGTATGGTGTGAGGCAGGGCTCAGGTGGGTTGGAGGCTGTGGTCTCCAGATGGCAAGTTGCTGTTTCTCTCCAGAGCTCTTGCTGCCAGGAGAAGTGGGTATAGCCACTATTGTATCCTCACCCTTACCCCTCCCTGTTTGGAAACCACGCACCTGTCTCATGCCTCCTCTAAAATGAACATGTGACGGTTGAGGACTAAGCAAACTCATTCTGTATTCCCAGCCCGCATCCTGGCACAGATGGTCATGTTAGCTGCTGTGGAGTGGGGCCCCAACTCACTGTGACCCCCGTGCACAGTGGGACGAAACACTGCCTGTTTCTGAGCCACACCCGTGGTGGGTTGCAGGTAGACCACTGAGACACATGGGGTTTCCACTGTCTGATGTGTAGAAGTAGATTTCCAGGCCTTTCTTCCCAGAGCTGGAGATCCCACGGAGACCCCTTCTGTATCACAGCAACATGTAAGCCCCCGCTTACAGATGGATGGTGGCTAGGACAGGACACCAGCCATGAACCGCACGAACGCTGGTGAGAACTGTACCGTGCGTGGCACGAACAGACACTGTCAGAGTGGGTGCCCAGAAGCTGTGTGCCAAGCAGGACGGCGTGTCACCTGGGCTCCTAGCGAGGGCACCAGACAAGCCCATGCCTTACCTGTCCCTTGTCTTCTGAGAGCCTCCGTTTCTTCTGTGGGCTTTGTGAGCCACATCTATGCTGCCGGCTGTCAGGGTTTTGAATACGAAGTGGAAACAGCTACTGGATGATGGGGAAGTGGCAGGGCAAATCCGACAGATGCGTGGAAGCATGCGAAGCGCCCCGTTGGTGAAGTTTACAGAATGAAGTGGCAATTCTAGGGGTCCCCTGTGAGGAGGAGTGGAAGGGGTCATCACTGCCAAGGGGACCCCTAGCCCAGCACACAGTCTGTGGGCACGAGGCTAGGCTGTCTTTGTAACGAACCAGCACTTGGGGTGAATAGCACTTTTTTTTCTCTCTCCCCCAAATGGTTTTGCTTTCACTTAGTAGAAAGAAGCCGTCGTTGGAGCCCCAAACACAAAATAAGTGGAAAGGGAGCACGTTGTACGTGTCTCCTCCCTGTCAGAAACATCAAGGTCTGTTTTCTGTGAGAAAAATGGGCTAACATTGAGCCCAAAACGTTGTGTGGGAGAACAGCGCTCTCCCAGTGGGCTGCCCCTGAAGGGCTGGGGACCCCTTTGAGCTCCCCACCGGCATTGTGCTGGCCTTTGTTGGAGAGGCCAGGATGTGCTGGTATCACCAGGTGCTGTCTGCCATCTATCTCAGTGGATTTCACAAGTATTCTCTCAATCCATGCGCCGGAGGTGGGAGATCTGAGCCCAACAGTGCGTTGCGGAGACAGGAGAGGGGTGGAAGGACCCACAGCAGCTCTGTACCACACCCAGCTCCAATACCCCTGTCCGGAAAGGATGCCTGGGAGCCTCAGCGTCCGTTATACAGGTGCACAAAGCCACTAGCGCAGCAAGCTGGGTGGCTACGCCAGGCAGTCCACAGCCTCAGGCAAGACACCAAGCAGACTAGCCTGGCTCCATTTCATGCTACCAAATGGGCCAGCTGCTGCTCCAGAGGTCACAGAGGGAGAACTTGGCAATGGAGGTCAGTCCACACCCCTTTCCACTGCCCCTGGTCCTCTTAACAGGTGGGCAACAGCTGCAGCTTCAACCTGGGAGGAAGCAGGCTGGACAGCGCACACAGCGAGCTGGCCAACCCCTTCAAGTGACAGACGAGGAAATGTGGAGAAGGCCCAGCGTGGAGAAGGGGCATGCCCACGACCATAGGGCCATGGGCAGCACAGAGCTGCCTGGGGTGGAGCGTGCTCAGCAGGTGTCCACAGGCCCTGACTCTAGCCCAGTGGTCGGCAAAGTCTGGCTCAAGGGCCCTAGGCGGCTCCTTCAGTAGGTCCATGTGGCTCTGAAGCGAACATTGAAATGAAAAAGAAAACGATCCCAGTTTCATTTCTAAAATGTTAAGGGCTATGATTCAGATCCTGGTGATCGCATGTGATTGTAAAACTATACTTCTGGCTCTCGGATCATGTGTAAATTCTAGTGAGCGACAGGATCTGGCTCTTCCATCTCTAAAGTTCGCCGAGCCCGCTCTAGGTGCGTGTGCCGGCTTGGGCTTCTCCTCAGTGCGACTGGTTGAGGAGGCGGGTGGCATGGTGGGTGTTCACCCCCTGCCTGTGGATGTCCAAGGAGTCCTCCCTGCGGCCCGTGTCGCTGGGCGGTGCACCGTGTACATGCTTAGCTGCTAACGGAGAGGTGAGAAGTCTGAGCCCACTAGAAGCACCTTGGGGGGAAAGGCATGATGATTAGCGGTGCAGAAATAAGTGCAAACCCCATGGGGTACAGTGCTCCACATGGGCGTGGGGAGGAGTCAGAACCCACAGCAATGTGTTTGGCTGGCGGGTGCAGGTGCTTGGACAGTCTGGGGGTGGTGGTGGGAGGCATGCCGGCAGACAGAGGGTAGACTGATGTGGTGAAAGGAGCCTGGAGCCGGGCTAGAGCCCTCGTCCCTTCAACAGCAAGGGAATGGATGGGTCAGAGCAGCAGCCAGCCCAGCCTGTCCCCTGACTGGTGCTCCCCAGGAAGGCGGGTATGTTGGAGCATGTTGAAAGGAAAGCTACCCACATGGTGAACCCACATGGAGAGCAAGAGGCAAGAAGGGGGTGGGGTGGTGTTTGTCTGAAGAAGGAAAGACTGAGAGCCAGGCGGGCACAGCCCAGCCGAGTGGCCAGGGGCGGGCACCCTGAGCAGGGACTCTGAAGGCAGGCTACTGTTTTTCTAGTCCCGTGACCCAGGAATGGCGAGGCAAACTTTCTGAGCCTCTCCTTCCTCATTTGGAAAAGGAAGGTAATATCTGGATCTACTTCACGGCTCTGCAGGGATTAAGTGAGCTACCCCCTGCGCTGTGTTTAGAGGACAGCCTGGCGCTAAGTGACAAACGCTGTCATGACAAAGAATGACAGAGGGCAGCGGATGATAAAGACGGATGGACCTGAGGAGTCCTCAGGCCGGGGAGGGCTTCGGCACGCTCTGGAGACACAAGAAGCAGAACTAGGGCTGCTGATGTGGGACAAAGGACGGGGACAAGATGACAACCCAGGGAAGGGCCCATATGCGTCAACAGAACTTTCTGAAGGCCGGGGAGCTTGCCCCCAGCGTGGGGAGTTCTCGATGGCAGGAAGTATTCAGGCAAAGCCAGGGACCACTTGGCAGAGTTGTAGGATTGCTGCCAGGCCAGTCCGGCTCTGGAGGAGGAGAGCAGGCCAGCAGGCCATGGCGGTCCCTCTCCAGCCCTGAGATTCACAGCGGAGAAGGGCCTTTTCCTTGTGAGCGCCTTACCTTGCCCGAAGCGAGCAGTCCTGTACACCTCCTTGGCCTCTCGGAAGCCCAGCATGTGGCACACCACATCCCCGTCCTTCTTGTCCCAGCCGTCGTCGCACACGGTGCCCCAGCGCCGGTCGTGGTACACCTCCACACGACCCTCGTGTGGGCCCGAGCCGTTCACCAGCCGGATGGCCACAGCCTCCACGCCTCCTGCTGGGAGCAGCCCACCGTCATCACACAGCTCCAGAAACCCCGGGCTCCACCCGGAGAGCGTCTCCAACCACCTTCCCTCCCCGGGGCAGTGAGGGCGAAGAGAGGGCTGGGGCCTCTGGCCAACCGAGCTCGTGGCTTGTCATGGGGTTCTTTGTCAGCCTGGTTTCTGCCACCCTTTGGGACCTGGTTACTAGTTACCATGACTTCCAGGTCGGAAGAGGAGAGGGAACCCAGGGATGGCCAAGGCTTTGGGGGCAGGGTGGCCTGGCTTAACAGCTCAGTAGGTGGTGAGCACCTAGAGGTCCCCTTCAAGTCCCATGCCTCCTTGTCTACTTCCCCCCAAGGCTGTGGGCGCAGAAGTGCTTGGTGCCAGGGTGACGTGACATGCGCTCCAGCTCTGCCCCTTACTGAGACAGGAGGCCATCAGATCCTAGGTGCCACTGACTGTAAGCCACGTGACTATGCTATGAGAATTTTTGATTCCCCTGTTTTCAGAGACGTCACAGTGCCGGTTCCAGAACGGAGGACATGGGGCCGTCTGTGGCAAGAGCGTGGGCTGGTGTCTGCACAGCGAGGCAGGCCCAAGAGTTGCTCTTAGATAGTTATCACCTTAAGGAAGTGCCTGAGCCTCGCTGAGGGGGTTTCTTCCACTGTCACGGGTGGGGGCCAGGCCTACTTTTCAGGGCTACAGTGCAGATTACATGAAATTATTTACAGAAGGCTCCCAGCGTGGTTCCTGACACATAGCACATGCTGCTTTCCCCCGTTCTTTAATGGCTGAAACCCTGGGGAGTTCATCTGTAAGATGAGTGTTTAACACAGAGTCTGGCTGTAGGAAATGAATGACAAATGTTTTCTAAGTTGACGAAAGAATGAAGATTCATCCTGCCCCACCCCCCTCCAAAGGATTAAACATCAATTTATTTAGTAATAGCTTACTAGATTTTAAGGTGTTTTTTTCCTTCATTATTTCACACACACACGTAAAACCTTACTTGGTGTTTACGTTTAGATCGCCAGCTTTGTAGTCCTTAGTCTAACAACAAAATTAAGTTCGCTGCCACCTAGTTGATGTCAACTCATAAGAACCCCAAAGGACAGTGTGAATTTCCAAAACTTTAACTCTTTACAGGAGTAGCAAACCCTGTCTTTCTTCTGAGGAGTGGCTGGTGGTTTTGAACTGCTGACCTTGCAGTTGGCACCATAGCCACGACGCCACTAGGGGTGTTCCACAGTCTAAACTACCAGTCAAACTCATCGACGTATTCCTCCCTCACCCCTTGATTTCCCTTTGCCCTCCTGTGGAACTCCATCTTCTACCTCACCCGAGCCAACACTCATCATCCGGATGAAGATTCAGTTTGGGATTAAATTGCATTATGAAGCTTCTCCAAGGGGATTGCTTTGCAGTCTCGGAGGACCCTGGAGCAGCCGAAGCAAGCTTAACATCACCTTAGAGCCAGCGTTTGGCTGAGTCACAGTCTCAGGGTTAGTCATCCTGTTATTGCCGAGCGGGGACCAGAGCAGGGTCTCCAGATGTGTCTTCTAACATTCTTTTATCCCCTTGCCTGCATCCCACTCCCGGGGCACTTTTCCTGCCTCAGACCCCCCCTGAGTTTCTTCACTTGGTAACGTAGTGGTGTGGTCCCAAACCCAACTCAACCCACAGTCAGGGAGTCAATTCCAGCTCATGGCAACCCTGTAGCAACCATGTAGGACAGAGGAGAATTGCTCCATCCTGTGCCCGAGACAGGAAATCTTTACCGAAGCAGACTGCCTTTTCCTTCCCCACCAGAGTGATTGGTGGATTAGAACTGCCTACTCTTCAATGAGCACTTCAATGCTTATTCTACTGGGCCACCAGGACTCCTTTAAAGGCAGTTAGTGCGTCTTAAAAAAGACATCCATCAAACTCATTGGGGATGCTTGTGAAAAGGCAGATGCCCAAGCCAACTCAGACCTACTCACTTAGAGCCTTGGGGCAAGAGTTAGGGATCTGCACTTCTCCTTTTAAAACCTTTGTATGGTGAATTAGATGAAGGCTCTACAGAGCAGATCATCGGTTTTACGTTCAACGATTCAGACACAATTTATTTCAGTTCATCCATTACACCCCCCCCAGTGCACCATCACGCATCCCGCTTCCTCCCTGTGTTTCCTGTTTCTATCCCGCCTCTTTTTCTAACCTGATGAACTTTGTCCTGGAATAAATGCTGCCCTTTTGATCCGAAAGGGTAGATTAGTCTATCACAAGGAGGCTTCCATTCCAGACCTCCAGGGTGACTGCGAGTCATAGTCTCAGGGGTGCTACCTGTCTCATTTATAACTTCGAGTTTTGTTCTACATTTCTTTCCCACACGCTCTCCAGGACGTTCTAAATGTGATCCTACCCTGAGCAGTTGGTGGGGGGAGCCAGGCACCACCTTGTTTTTCTGGTCTCAGGGTTATGGAGACTGATTTTTGTGTGGTTCGTTTGTCTCTTAGACTAATGGTGTCTTTTGAGCTGAATCAAGCTTCTTTTCTCCAGACAGGGAGAGCTGGAGGCTTGCAGCTTGGATGGCCGCTCACGAGCTGTTAAGACCCCAACCCCTCCTCCCTCAAGTAGGCTGCAGAACACTGTCTTTGTGAACTTAGTGGTTGGCATGCAAACCTTGGTGTCATTTGAGACGATGCCCTCAAGGCATCTGTACTTTGAGCCAGTGCCTCAATTGATCTGCAGAGAGCCATTCGGAACGACGGGATCAGATGATCTAGAGCAGTGGTTCTCAGCCTTCCTAATGGGGTCTGCCACTGTGCCTGGCCCACTGAGATGCCCAGTAAATCCATGCAAAAAGCATGCAGGTATGAAGGAACCAACTAACTGATTAAATAGGCAGGACCATTAAATGAGCAGGTCAACCTGGCAGACACAGGCTGCTGGAGCCCAGGGCTTTGGGGGAAGCCTGGCTGGAGAATCAGGCATGAGGGCATTCTACCGCTCCAACACCCTCTTTCTTATATCACAGCCCTCTGATCCGGTCACTCCCTCGTGGTAAGCCACCTTGGGTGGGATGTTCCTGCCTTCTGGACACAGAGCATGGAGGGCACAGGTGCAATGACCCTATGTTCCAAAGCCAAAAGCAGGAGTGTGGTCTGTCCTGTGAGTATGGCGTGTTTTGGAGGAAGTCTGGAAAACGTCATTTAGATGATAACGTAATGGAATTGCCAAGACATTTCAATGTAAAAAGAAGTAACAAAAAGAGTATTTGGAAAGAGGACAACTTTAAAAAAAGAAGGAAGGAAGGAAGGAAAAGAAAGAAACATGCGGTAACTGTCCTGACAGAATAGACAACACCAATTTCGAGAACGTTTGTGGTCCATACCCCATGCTCTCTGCAGCAAGAGCAACTGTCTCTGGCCACGGTACCCAGTACCCTCTCCTTAAAAACACCGAACTCACTGCCATCATGACCCCCTGTGGGTTCCTGAGACTGTAAGTGTTTACCAGACTAGAAAGCCCCATCCTTTTCCTGCAAAGCTGCTGCTGGTTTCAAACCGCTGACCACATGGCTCGCAGACCAATGTGTAACCACTACACCACCGGGGCTCCTCTCTCTCCTTCCTGGAGCCATATTGATTCGAGGGGCTGAAATAAGGTAAAGTGCCCATAATAGAGAGAAAATAACAAAACAATCAGAGAACACTTTGGTGGGAGTTAGAGAAGGCATCACCCTGCCCAGAACCCAGGTACCCCCATAATCAGGAGAAGCCAGGGAGAGGTCAAACAGGGTCAGCTCTCCCCAAAGTATCAGACGATTCTGGAAGCAACATCACTTCCCAGGATGCACCCAGACTCCATGGCACAGTTCAGTCTGGCTCCGTGTCCTACTGGGGCGCCACGCTGTGGGTTTTGCGTCCTTTCCCCCTTGGTCAAGATCGGAGATCTGCTTTGACACCTCTGTTGGAGGTGTGGAGCCTTTTATGGTGTGGCCAGTCTAGGGCTCTGAGAGCCCAGGGGATTTCCCCTGGCCTTCTTTGCCCCTCCACCTAGAGTTATTGGGGAGGTAGGCAGGCCCCTTTCCCAGGCTTGTGTGATGGCGCCACCTCCTGCAATGAACTTGGCCCATCACCAACACACTCCCACAGTGACACCCCTACTCGCCTGAGGCGGATGTCATGGCTTGCTATGAGGCTTGGGTTTCTGTGGGCAAAGGGTTCACATGATGCTTTTTTTCCCCATAAGTTTCTGCCCCAGAGCAAAGCTTTCCCACCAACTAACCAACCACCACTGGGAAATGCCCTCACCGCACAGCTGTGTCAGCCCCCACATCATCAGACATGGTGCCTGAGAGGCAGCCTGGTCTCTGACCCCCCAGGACGAGAGCTGGGTGCCTGGACTGGGGGACCAGGGAGTTCCGTGCACCTCTCTTTAAACATCATCCCAGAAAACCAACCAAGCCCACTGCCATGGAATCCATTCTAACTCCTACGAACCCCAACCAGGGCTTCAGAGACGGCATTTTTTATGGGAGTAGTCAGCCTCATCTTTCTTTTACAAAGCTGGTAGTGTGTTTGAACCACCAATCTTGCAGTTAGCAGACCAAAGCCTAAATGGAAGGCAGGTCATTACCTAGTGGTGCTAGGCCAGTATCGAGAGGAGGCGGTCTCGTTAAAAACAAAGGGAAGATGTGCACGTGATGGGCAGCGGAACCTCCGGCTTTCACAGTTGCACAGGACTCCCCTCAATAATGGCCCCTGCTGCAGTGGACAGGCCCTTAACCTCTTCTGTGCGACCCAACTCAGCCAGCCCTGCGAGGCCTTCCAGAGCAAAGGGAAACTCAGAACACTTCACCCACCTCTGCACCTGATGGTCGCCCGTGTGCATTCCTGATGTTGATTCATACAAGGAGCCCATGGCGTGAAGAAAATACCACTCTCCTTGGTATCCTGAGGTCCTACCCACAGACAGGACTTGACCGGTTTATCTGCTTATAGTAACAAGTGGAGAAAACAGTGTAGAC